TCACACCAGCTCCTCTGCTCAATTCCCTCCCGTGACCTCCTGCTTCACTCCAAGGATAACCAAGTCGTCGCTGGGGCCTACGAGGCCCCATGTGAACTGGCTGCATCTCCATTCCAACCCCCCTGGGTTCTCTGCTCTTCCCCAAGCTTGGCTGTCTTGCCTCAGCCCAGGCCTTTGATTTAGTACTCCCCCAAAATCCACTCTCACTTCGTACATTTACTTAAATGCCACCTCCTTGGCCTGTCTTCCCTGATCACTGAGTCTAGATATCCATCCTCCTGACCCATACTGTACATTTTTCTTCTCAGCATTTAACTATCCTAAGTCATCTATATTAAACTCTGTCCTATTTATCTTGTAAACAGGTAAATCGCTTTCTCTCTCCCACTAGAATCTCAGCTCCACCAGAAGTGTGGGCAGGGGATTTTGGTATGTTTTGCTCCCTGATGTAGGCCAAACTCCTAGACCAGAGGTCAGTACAATTTTTCAGGTAAAGAGCAAGGCAGTAAACATTTTAGGCTTTTTGGTCACGCGGTCTCTGTTGCAACTACCCAGTTCTGAGGTTGTAGCATGAAAACAGCCTTGAAAAATACATAAAAGGGGACTTCCCTGCTGGTGCAGCAGTTTAGAATCCACCTGTCAATGCAGGGGACACGGGTTCGAGCCCTGGTCTAGGAAAATCCCACATGCCTCGGAGCAACTAAGCCCATGCGCCACAACTACTGAGCCTGAGCTCTAGAGCCCGTGAGCCACAACTAGAGAAAGCCCGCACACAGGAACAAAGACCCAACGCAGCCAAAAAAAAAAAGAAAGAAAGAATTCCATAGAGCATTAAAAAATAAAATACATAAAAGGACATGTGGGACTGTGTTCCAATAAAACTTTATTTATACAAACAGGTGGCTGGTGGTAGTTTGCCATCTCCTGCCCAGAACACAGTTTGGCAATAAATATTTGCTGATTGAATTGTGAAGGAAGATAAAGTCATGCTCTTATTCTAGGAGGAAGAAGAACCAATTAAAAAATTTCAGGGACTTCCCTAGTGGTCCAGTGGCTGAGACTCTGCACTCTCAATGCAGGGGTCGGGGTTCGACCCCTGGTCAGGGAACTAGATCCCGCAGGCCACAACTAAATATCCCACATGCCACAACTAAAGATCCCATGTGCTGCAGCTAAGACCCGATGCAGCCAGATAAATAAATAAATAAATAAATAAATAAAAAGAATTTGAGGGTCTGGCAGGAATAATTGGGGAAAGGAAGGGTAAAAGACAATTAAAAAAAAAATTCAGATCGTGTTAGAGCAGGGGTGAGATGAGGGGATGGTGGGTACTCGAGGTAAATGAAGTAGGGAAGCCTCTCTAAGGAGATGGCATTCGAGCTTAGGCTGGGCGAGCAGGGAGCCCAGGCTACTTGAAGCTTCAGAGGCTGAGGGTTCCAGGCAGAGGGATCGGCAGGGGGAAAGATTTGGAGGTGGGTTGGGCTTGGGGTGTTCAAGAAACAGAAAGCTCTCAGTGTGGCTGCAGCAGCACAGCGACTGAAGACAAAGGGGTTCAAGATGACATTGGGGATGGGCAAGAACCATATCATAGAGGCCTAGTAGGATTTTTTTTTTAAACCACTCTATTTTGCTTTCTTTTTTCATATATTTTTTATTGTGACAAGATGTACACAACATAAAATTTACCATCTTGACCATTTTTAAGTGTATAGTTCTGTGCCATTAATTATACTCATACTGTTGTCCAACTGTCCCCACCATCCGCCTCCAAAACTTTTTCTTCTTCTCAGATGGAAACTCTATATTCATTAAACACTAAGTCCCCATCTCCCACCTTACCCCTTGCAACCACCATTCTACTGTCTCTATGAACTTGACTACTCTAGGAACTTCATATAAGTGGGTGCATACAATATTTCTCCTTTTATGACTGTCTTATTTCACTTGGCATAATGTCTTCAAAGTTCACCCTTGTAGCATGTGTCAAATTTTCTTTCCCTTTTAAGGCTGAATAATATTCCATTACATGTATAGATGACATTTTGTTTATCTATTCATCTGTTGATGGACACCTGGGCTGCTTTCACTTCCTGGCTATTGTGAACAATGCTGCTATGAACATGGGATGGGTGTGGAAATATCTTTTTAAGTTCCTGCTTTTACTTCTTTTGGGGGTCTACCCAGAAATGGAATTGCTGGATCACATCCAGTAGGATTTTGTATTAAGCACGATAGGAGGCCAGGGGGGCTTTATGCAGGGGTGTTGTTTCCTTGCTTTAATAGGACTCCTCTGGTTGCTGTGTTGAGCTCTGATTGCAGTGGGGAGGGACAGGGATGGGGAGACCGGGCAGGAGGCTGTTACAGCAGTCCAGGTGAGAGACAGCAGTAGCTGGAAGATTCCAGTATGGCTGGGGAGGCCTATATGAAGCAAGTAAATTAGATGATTACAAATAGTGAAAAGTCCTGTGAAATAAATGAACAGGAACATGGTACTCTGATTTCAGGGAAAAACAAAAAGGATCTCTCTGGCATTCTTGATATATGATTCACTCAACTCATGGTCTACCAGGGCTGCTGATGCTTGAAATCCAGATCCCGCATTTTCACCATCAATTTATTTTGTTTGCTTTCATTGAGTGGGTTTGGCCCAGGGCCCAGAGCTGCTGGGTCTGAGGGTGTTCATTACTGTACTTGAGCCACAGGTGGGAAGGAAGGGGCTTGGAAAGAAGGGGGAGGGGAAGACTTGTGAGTCTGTGGCTGAAAAAGAAGTGCGGAGAGGGTTTGGTGGTTAAAGCAGGGCTGAGTCTCCTCTCTGCCACATCCCAGCTGGGGGATCATGGGCAAATTATCTCATCCCTCTAACCATCAGTTTCTGCTCCTGGAAAACGGTATCCTCATTCATTTGGTCTGTCGTCCGCTTGCTTCTCACGAAGGCAGAGATCTTTGTTTTGTTTACCGAAGCGTCTACAGCACCTACATGGTAGGCCCCAATACATATTTTTATTTTATTTATTTATTTTCTATTTCAAATTTTCGTGTAAGTTATAACTTTTTTTTTTTTTTTTTGGCTGCACCGTGTGGCATGTGGGATCTTAGTTTCCCGACCAGGGATCGAACCTGTGCCCCCTGCAGTGGCAGCACAGAGTCCTAACCATTGGACCACCAGGGAATTCCCTAATGTATAACTTTTACAAAGCAAAGCATAGCAAACTTAAGTGTCCAGCTCAACAAATTTTAAGATGTGTGTGTGTGTAAACCATCTAATGACCACCAGATCAAGTTATAGAACATTTCCAGCTCTCCAGCAGGCTCTCTTGTACCTCGCCCTAATCACACTCCCTAAAGGTAACCACTATTCTGACATCAATCAACATTTATTAGTTTTTGCCTGTGCTTGGACTTCATCTAAATGGGATCATGAAAAATGTACTCTTTCATGTTTGGCTTCTTTTGCTCCTTATTATGTGTTGTGAGATTTGTCCATAATGTTACATGCGTTAGTAGTTTGATCCTTTTTATGTTTTTGCTGTGTCACATCACAATTTATTCATCCTTTTGACTATTGATGGACAGTCAGGCTGTCTCTAGTTCTGGGCTATTTGAATAAAGCTGTTCTGGACATTTTTGGTAGATGGTCTTTTGGTCTTTTGATGACAGATTTTGGTCTTTTGACGGACAAAAGCACTCCTTTCTCTAGGAAAGGAGTGGAATTGCTATGTTACCGTGTAGTTGTATGTTTAGCTTTAGCAAAAATTGCCAAACGGTTTTCCAAAGTGGTTGAACCAATTTTCACTTCCACTAACAGAGGGTGAGTTTCGGTTGTTCCGCGTCTTTGCCAAGACTTGGCCTTTTCATTTCAGTCATTCTGGTGGGTGTGTAATGGTATTTCACTGGGTTTTACTTGCATTTCCCTGATGACTAATGATGTTGAGCACCTTTTCATAAAAATAAATATTTGTTGAAAGAATGGATGAATAAAGAATTTGAATAAAAATGGAAAGAAATCTGACCATCTTGTACCCTGCTTAAAATCCAGAAATGGCTCCCCATCACTCGTGGGGCCAGGCTGAAACCCCTCCTCCAGCCAACAAGATCTTGCATGCTCTGGCCCCTCCTGATCCCTCCTGCCCCAGATAAGTCCCTTCTGCTTCTGTCTCTGATTCCTACCACCCAGACTGTCTTCAGGTTCCTCCAGGGACTTGCTCTGTCCTGCTTCATCGTTTTCCATAAGCTGTTTTCTTCATCCCAGAACACAGCCCAGGCCTCATGAAACCAGACGCATCACTTGTATCCCAGTTCAAAAGACCCTTCCTCCAGGAAGCCTTCACTGACTTCCACTGCCAGTAGGCCAGGAGGACCCTTTAAAACCCTCTTACTCCCACTTTTTCTTCCTAGCTTTTATCACAGCTGTAAATATACTTTGTGTGATTATTTGATTAACCTGTTCCCCTCCCATTAAAAAAAAACACTTTAAACACCCTTCCCCCGCAAGAAACCCCAACACTTTAAGCACCATAAGAGCAGCAACTTTGTCCTGTTTCCAGAAAGACCTGGCGTATAGTAGATGCTCAGTAAGTATTTGTTAAATGTATAAATGTCAAAGCAACAGCTCAAAGAGCATTATAACCTGAAAGTAATTATCCCATAAAAGCTCACTCACCCTGAGGGGAACCTGAGCCAATAAAAAAAAGTCACAAAAAACAATGCTATCTCCCTCCCTCCCTCACTAGGTTCATGGCAGGGCAGTGGCAGGGGGAGGGGGGGCTGTGTCAAGTTCAATCACTCTTCCTGTTTTATTTGGTGCAGCTGGTGTGTGTGTGTGTGTGTGTGTGTGTGTGTGTGTGTGTGTGTGTGTG